CGCTCTACGAGGGTGAAATAGGCAAATAAGTTCTGGTAGGTATTAAAAGTATGTTTCTAAGTTATGGTCAAACATTCGGTCAGAAGCTGGTTTCGAACCTACATATAGCCCACCTTCAACAGTGCTTATGAACTCCACTTCTGAGATGTTTTCGCCTTCCCTCATATTGTTAATTGTTATTATACATTTGCGAGGGTTTAATGGTATAATAGTTCTGGAGGCTTGCTGACTGGCATGAGCAATCACGAGCTACTAACAAAGGGAATTGCAATGATGAGCGCTGATTGCTAATTGCTGCTGCTGATTTTTCATGAATGAATGTAAATTCCATTTTTCACATGTTTTCCGAACTGTGAGTTTTTTGGTACTGCCTTTAAGAGAATCATCTTGGCAACGCTCAATTTGATACACACACCTATTTGCCGTAAAGTCTACTTGAAATGTTTCAGCCAAAACCGGACGTGAGAGATAAATTCGCACTGCACTCACTAATTTTGGCTCAGAGAAATGCTGGGAAATATTGCAGAAATTTGCATGTTAATGTGATTTAGATGTTAATGAAACTAAGGTTCCCTCTCATCAATAGTTCCGTCTATGAGTAGCGGGGTGGGGGGACATTCTTACAAATGTGGGAAATTTCATTTTGATCCCAGTCCTTTGTAATATGAGCTGAGTCCATTTATTTCAAGTGCACTGGACGCACCTTGAGCACTTAAAAACTGAATACGACTGCGCGTTTGTTGAAGCAGTCGTGGCCTTATTCATATTTCCCAATAGTGTTACTGTAAGCTGGGCTAAAGTGTGACAAAGGAAGCCGTTGTTATCAAATGCAAATACATTTGTTAAAGCCACGGGTCGGGATTAGGTGCGAAGAGGTAGTCTCTCCCAGAATGGGGAAGAGGGGTCCTCGAGCCCAGGTACCGCGACATGGCCGCGGCTCAAAAGTGACAGCACGGGCGCTAAGGCCTGTCCTGCTGCCATCCTTGTCAATCGCGGTTACGAGACGTTTGCACCTCTCGCGTGCGACGTACTCTCTCGCGTTTTCCCTCTCCTCGCAGCGCTGTGTCTCTCCGTCATACTCGGCCGGCCTCATAAGGGAAATTTAGTGTTTTCTATGGTGCTTTTTGCTTTTTCTCCTCAGTCACGTTCTCATCGCTCCTCTTGCCCAATGTTCGAGCAATATAATACAACACAACAATTTTATTACGACCCGTGCCTTTGAGTCAGATCTATTGAATGAAACCATCCATTTTTCAAAACCTCTTCGGCCCAGCCCAGCATTTGATGGTATGCTGAGAGCTCGGACAGATAATAATTTCGACTTGTTTTGTGTTGTTAACGCGCCGCCAGCGCTTAGTATTCACCTACTAGTCTGTGCAAGGCAATGACTTGGCTTTGAAAATTCTCACCCGAATCACTTATTGATTCGAATGGAAGTGTGGTATAGTGCTCTGGAAGGTAAATTGGTTCCACTCGCCCAGCTCAAGGTACCCTGTCTCCGCCAGTCGCGGTGCTGTGAAGGTGAAGTGCGAGTGAAGCGCACCGCTTTCACATCATCGCTACGTTGTACTGAATCCTCGCAGGGCGAACACAACAATAACTACCCAGCGCTGGATTTACACTTCGTCATGCACTGAACCGCGCTTTGCTAACAATTTTAATTTGATCTTGAACAGCCCTGTGTGTGAATGCCTCCCAGTTCTTCCGTGTAACAGCTTCTGTTGATATTTTTGTGAATGTTCGCGCAAGAGCTTCGAATCACGATCATTAGATTTCTTGGCCCATTTTTGATTGTTAATTGCTGCCTTGGCCGCCATCCGAAGGTTAGATTAGAAGCTGTCACAGGAAGGCTGAGTAACAGGCAAAACCCAACCCCAAGCGGGCTCGTTTTCCGAATAAGGGTCTGACCTTACATTACCAGGTACCGTGTCGCCTTCCGAACCATTCTTGTGATACCATTCATTGAAGTTTTTGCATACAGTCGTTCTTCGCTTGAACTTGTAAACAAATTTGTTAAATTTCCGTCGGCGCACTGTGAGGGTTGTTACGGTGGATACATTGATCCCTGACCTAACGTTTCGCATACGTCGTCGCCTTTATGACGCGAATGTTTTCAGCCATCGAGCCAACTAGAGGTCCGTGCCACGCAAAGTTTTAAGCCAGTTGCAACTAACGTATGCTCTTGTGTGGGGAACCGTCGTTTTCTGAGGGTGACGATTAATTCAAATAGTTAGGCCATCGGGAGGATGTTCTTCCTAACCCTGGCAAGGCGCAGGAAAGGTGACCAACTTACAACCAACGAGGTTACAAGAAGCGAGAGAACGGAGAATGTTCCTGCCGCGGCCTTATTAGTTATTATAAATAATAACCGGCCTCGTATAAAAGCTTTCAACACACAAAACAAGACCTCAACCGAGTGTGCAATTAGGAAAAGAAAGTCGGAGTCATAAACAGTCGTTGCTTTGAAATGTACCACGTGTTCCAATCTTGATTCAGACCAGGAGTTGCGAGTGGGAAGGAGATAGACTACACTATCAAATTTACCTACAACACGGGGAGTATTGCCACATCACACTTATCGGTGTGCTGGGTTGAAGGACAAGAGCCCTACACATGCGCGTATTGAGGGAGCTAGCTGAGAGTTTACCGTACACTACCCAAAGACGCGTCTTTCTCGAAAGCACAAGTGCGTTTTCGAGACCCCTGTTCCAGTCCTTTTCCATAACTCGGCACCTATTAGGTTCGCATTAAACTGGACCAAAAAATTCGTAAACTAAGTGAATTGAGGGCGAAAAGTGGTTTAGTGGTGGCAAGTGGCACGCTCACCACGCGAGCGGTCCGGGGATCAAATCCTGGGTCGTGAGTCGCCCGGGCCAACCAAGCCTTCCATCCCTCCGGGGTCGGTTAATTGGTACCAGACTTGTCTGGGAGGATAAAAACACTGACTTGTACATCGGCTGGCCCCCGCAAGTCATTGTATAGGCCACATCGCATTCAAACGCCACTACGAATGTACAAATGGAAGTAGAATGCGTGCCGCATCCCAAAAGGATTATGAGATTGCATCAAAATCGTTATCCTTTACTATTAGGCAAAAATAAAAGTGAAACATGTTTTCATATGTGCTATCCAATCAAGTTGGTATAGTATGCGAAGCCGTTTAGTTCATTTTTCTCATCGTATAATAATCCACGGACTCTCATCGGGTAAAAGGCCATTTATCGTGAAAGCCGCATTTTTTCAGCTGGAGCGCTCTGGTGATTTGGAGGACCAGCTTCCGGTATCCCGCTTTAGATTTGTTCTTTTTCCGCAACCGAGTTCTACGCTAGGTTTACGCTTGTTGTTGTTTGTCAGTACCCCTAAGAAGCGACTTGCTGCGCAGATTCTTCCAAATCTACTTTGATTTTGACAGTTCTGAGGGCACAATCCTTTTGTGAGCCACTTGGTCGAGTTCTGCTTGACTTGATTACTGCAGTACTGCATGTTGGCTCTGACTCATTCGCGAAGAAAATGCTTCGGAGGGCCAAATCGTGAGCTGGAGCCAGGTCAGAGCACTCTATTCCTTGGCGATCCTCGCTAATGTCTCTCTGCTCCCATGCTTCCTTTCCAGGTCTCTTCGGTTATTACCGACGTGATTTTTAGATCACCTGCCACGGTAGGTGGCCCTTTTCGTAAGTGAACTGATGGCATCGTATCAGCTAAGAAGGGACCCATCCACTCTTATTCAGGGCAACCGGGATGCGATGAGGACATGGACAGTATACCTCCCTCGTATCTATCCTCACCGGCAATGATGCGATCTTTGATCCTGTTTACAACAAAGAAGCAATCTCGGCGAAAATTATCCTCTGTAATAGTAGAGCTCAACACCTTCTCCAATTTCTCTGGCCTTTGCGTCTATCCGATGCGTTTCCTTTTCATTCTCTTTCATATTCCTTTCAGTTTACTCCATCGTTTGCTCTAACTCATCACCCTCGCCTACTACCAATTTTTAATACTTCATGTGACCGATTCTCATGGTTCTCCTTGCACGACGAACCATGCGAATTCATCCAGCTTTTCGCCTTCAATTCTTTCCCAATGCTTTGACTGAGTGAGTGAGCTCTATAATCTGGCCCATTTTCGTATCTTTGCTCACTTACTGTCGTCGCTCATTTTTCTCTGAATTTTCTGTTCTTTTTCAAAAACTTTTTTATGTCGCCTTCTTGCTACTACTATACTCGAAAATCCTATTCATGTTTCAGAGTTACATGCTGCCACTCCTAAGAAATTGGCCAGAGGACATGTAGGAAAACGATGAGAAGCACATGGATTTCGATGCTCATCGCTGCCGTGACAAGGTGGGAGAACGAGTTCCGAATCGAAATCTGAATTCAATCCCCTCCTTTACCATGATTTTGACCCTAACTAAATGACTGTTTTATTTATTATTAGTAGTTGGTCACTTTTACATATTTTCCTGGAGAACAACGAACTTCCACGCCTAACCAGGAAAGGCATTCAACTTCCCATGGAACTTTGAATTGAGACCCAGATATATCGATAGAGCTTCAAACGCTGATTACAAATATGGAAACTAAAACTGCAAAATGAACCTGCCAAGGAAGTTGTGAGCAGTCAAAGTTGGCTAAAGTAAAGCGTTACATATGAACCGTGCTGGACCCCAGGCTTTCAAAGTCGCCGAAGAGTAGTGGTAGTGGAAAGCCCGGATCCAGCACGGTTCTAATGTAACGCTTTACTTTAGCCAACTTTGACTGCTCACAACTTCCTTGGCAGGTTCATTTTGCAGTTTTAGTTTCCATATTTGTAATCAGCGTTTGAAGCTCTATCGATATATCTGGGTCTCAATTCAAAGTTCCATGGGAAGTTGAATGCCTTTCCTGGTAGAGCTGTTCGTTCCTTTCTTCGGCTCCTATACCATAGTTTTGCCTTAACACCGCAAACTTGATCTGGAGCTTATCACCTCGAATTACAGTCTGTCCTTAACCGAGCGGAATGAGATGTCACGCAAATTCAAGTACTACTTCAATTCTGTTCGACCCACAGCTCCTGAAAACTTCGTGTCAAGTGTGAACGGCACTTTCTATAGGATTGTTGTGGAGTTCCATCTCATAGAAACCCACATCAGGATGGTGAGAAATTTATATTTTATAAACCTCGTATTAGCTGAAATAAACTCTTTCGTTCGTGTCAGGACAATGAGAGATTTATCGTCGTGGGGTGGAATTTAGACTGCAAAACTGAAAACAAGTTTTTCGCTTATTGTGAGTGGATGCGTGTGTATGTTAACAAATTCACCCGGCTTCATAAAAGCATCATTTTTTAGTCAAATCAAAGGATAAAGCATTTGCCGTTGATCAATCCCTTTTTGGGATGCGGCACGCATTCTACTTCCATTTGTACATTCGTAGTGGCGTTTGAATGCGATGTGGCCTATACAATGACTTGCGGGGGCCAGCCGATGTACAAGTCAGTGTTTTTATCCTCCCAGACAAGTCTGGTACCAATTAACCGACCCCGGAGGGATGGAAGGCTTGGTTGGCCCGGGCGACTCACGACCCAGGATTTGATCCCCGGACCGCTCGCGTGGTAAGCGCGCCACTTGCCACTACACCACTTCCGCCCCATTTTTCAGTTATCGACCCTTAAATTAAAAATGAATTGCAATGAGGTCCACTCAATGCTTATTTCATTTTTGTTTTCATGCTTTCAGCGATCACTTCTCGTTAATGCAATTATTGTGTTTCACTGGACCGATGATCGTCTGGTGCTCAGGGAACTGTTCGATGACTTTGAATTGCCGAAGGAGTTCGAGCCATGGCTGCCGAGAGTGAGAACCATTCCTGCACCGCATACTGTAACAGTGATTCTATCGCCTGCCAGTGGCGTCCTGTCTCTTTATCACCGGTTAGCTATCTCTATTCGATTTTAATATATAGCCTGTGGCTGTCCGCAGCTTCTTTCGGTGACATCTATGTACATGTGGAATTTCAAGTGAATTCATCCAGCTGTAGCTACCTAGCTTTTCCTTACTCTATTGTCGAATCATGCGAAAAATACGGCAGAGCAAGATAAGAAGAAAGGACGAGAGCTACTAGGTTCGGAAGCAGACGGTCCCATAAATTGGATGTTTGAAGAAGGAGAAGTATGCCTTCATTAAAAGAGGGTGGATCCTTGAGAGAATGAGTCGTGGGGCATCAGCGACCGAGGTGTATTCGTAACTACCCAACAAATTCTTACCCGTAGCAAAGACCGACCTCATAGCAGCCCTCCCTTTCAAGTGATTGAGAAGGAGAGAGGGGCTGGGTGGGACTCATCACTTGATTGCTTGTTCGTTTCTGGATTTATACATAGGCACGGGACGGATTTAGTGTTGTTTTTTGTTCGAAAATTAGACAAGTGCGGTAAGGAATGTGGGTGGAGAGAAAGGCAAAGCGCCTGGGAAAACACTACGTGAGAGGGCGCAGAGGCCATGTGTGCCGCGATTGATCATAGCAGCGGTCGCAGCTGTCTGGCGATGGCATTAACTTCATTGTCGCGTATTTTCAAAGTTGGCCAAGGTCGCGGTTCCGGTGACAACTAATCTCGAACCAGTGACTTCAAGAAGCCCATAATGCGTTGGCACTTGAAGCAATGATTGCCTTGCCAGCGGTATGTCGGATCATGGAATGTGAGGCCAACAACTATTCCTTGTCGCCGGCTTGGAAAGAAGGGTCAGAATGGGGTCTCACTTCACAGGTTTAAGTTGAAGTCTCATTTTTCCCGCAGCTCTCCATTTATCCCGTACATGCCATTTCAACATACGAACAATAACTATCCCTGTCATTTGCTCAAATGTAATGTCTCCAGCAAGGCATTCGTTTTCAAGACATAGCAACGAAGTCATACTCAGCAATCCGCGATTCGGTCGTCACCTCCCCTTGCTGACCAGCACAAAGGGAGAATACCTAATTTTTCTAGTTTCGCTCTAACTTCAAAGGCACGTGCGGAACTAAACTAACTCTTTCTTGTGAACCCGATAATAGTAGATTTTCCAACTTTTAATTGCCTTTTCAATGGATATTTAGTAACTTGAGCTTTTCCTATATGTACATTCAACTTCATTCAGTTATTAGTCATTTTTCGCTGTTTCAGGGTAAGAGACATCATAGAGTGCTCATCCAGCGAGTGGAAGTATCCGTTCGAGTCTTTTGATTGTGAACTTCCAACGGAAAACGCCGGAGGTTCGGGTGATACAATACAGTCTTTCAAGTAAAGTATCACTTTGATTCTTTTTCAGACGAGCTGATTACGGTATCAGCGATCCGAGACATCCGGCCAGGAGTCACAGACCGTGAGAGTGGGGGCGGAGCTCGGTGGGCTATAGATTTTCCTCCTCAGATATATGTTTTGGATAGAGCATTTTCCAACCTTTCCACTCCAGAAAAAAAAAGAATATTTGCCGTTCCAGCATCTTTTCCACAGTCTGCGCTTCGACTAAAGTATTCGGCCGACTGGGATTTTGCTTTGCTCTCGGTATACTTACCATCGTTCTTAATCCTAGCGCTAGTGTTTTTTGCACAATGGAAACGACGGAAGGTGCAGGTACGCCCGACAGTGAGAATTTTATTGCCGGGTAGTTATCTTGGATCATATTGCAGATTCTTGTCTCACTTGGCAGCAATAATGTGCATGCTTATTTTGGTGAGTGGAATTGAAAGATTATGCCAAAAGTGGAATTTGTAGGCTGTTCATTGTATCATTACATTACAAAAAATAGTATATTACTTTTTTACTGGCTTTTGCCTTGCTGAAAGGAGCGTTAGAGCGAGGCTAGAAAGAAGTCTGAACAAGAACTTCCAACGTGACTATTTTCAAACGGGTTTGAAAGGCATAGTCCATGATCAGGTCGATGTAGTTGTTCCGCTCGCACTGGGAAGTAGAGATGCGAAATGGACAGCAGTGAGGATCAAGGGAAAATTTGAAGTCAAAAACACTGGTTCTTGATTGAACCAAAACAAAAAAGACTGCACAAGCGATTAGGGGATTAGACGAGTAAGCGATCAGGCGAGTAGGCGAAAAGGGATAAGAAAAGGGTACATATTGGTTTGTTTGCTATGCTCATTAAGCGATCGGACTAATCGCCTAATCGCATGTACGATCGCCAACTCTGAACGCTGCCTAGATATTGCTAAGCGCCTAGTCGAGATAACGATGGACATGTACGAGAGAGAGAGAGCATAGCGAG